AAGCTGTGAAACCTGACCTTTCTGGGACTGGGAAAGGGGAAATGGGAATGCCGGTGACCTGACAAGACCACTCCCAAGAGTACCTCCCTGTTCCCTCCGGCCTTGGTGCCTGGGTGTGTTTCACAGAATTGTAGCACAGGGAAAATGGTTTGGAAAATGCCATCTACACACTCTCAAGTTCAAAGACAGTAAGTACAGTCCGACCTTACAATAGTATATAAACAATACTCCTTATGTCCCTGGGCTCTGCTCTTTGTGATTTTGTAGACCGATTCCTTTCAGAAGAAATTCCAGACTAAATTGCTGTAGATTACATGAAAATGATCAGATGCCAGAAGAGGGTTTATAATGTGTTTCTCAACTCCTCTCCAAAGCAAATACATTTACATCTTTAAAAAAAAACTCAACTAAAAATAATTTAAAACAAAATATATATGTATAGGCTTAAAATTCCCTAGGCCCAAGTGTCTTTGATACTTGGGTAGTATCAGAGACTTAGGCTTAATCTCTCGCTGTAAGTCAGCCATTCTAAATTTAGCTGGTTGAAGTCACCTTTCTTCTATTTGGTTTGCAAAGAAACATCTCATGAGTTAGCATGAACAGCTAAAAATAAGCTGCAAGTTTCGTTTTCTGTTGTTCAGCATGGCTTCGAAACAAAACAGTATAAACCTAGGAGATTTGTCGAGCGGTATGAAACTTCAGCGATTCAGACTGCTTCCTTTGCTGTACCGATGACCAACCCACCACCAGGCCTGAAAAAATCACACCTCTGTCCCTCTCATGGTCTTGAAGTACATCACCACATGCATAACTAAGATATGGCAGGAAACTCAGGGCTCAGGCTAGTAATGGGGGTGGGAGGGGCAGCGGCTTGTATGTGAATGCATCATCGCTTTCATACAGGGTGTCACATACAATTCAGCCTGGATCTCAAGTGATGCCAGAGACCCTTCTGCAGGGCGAGGGAGTAAATAAACCAAAGGTTCCATGACAACGGGTTCCAAGGGACTGAGCTCAGACTCTCCCTTGTCCCAAATGCCCGTGTTCTTATGCAACTCCATACTGCAGACCCAGGCAGCTCACAACAAGCTCAATTTCAAAACCGTCTTTTCAGGGCCAAGTCGGGCAAGAAGGTGTTCAACAGCAGTGCCTGTGCTTCAAAGGGAAAGCAGCCACCTCATTCCGGAGCATTCAGCTGTGTGCATGGCCGGCAGGCAGCGCTGGAGAAAGCAAGCTCTCAGCTAACCGAGATTGAAAGGGGGCAAAGGAGGGTTAATCTCCCTCCATTAGGGAGGGGCCGCTGGGTAGAGGTGAATAGCATAATCGTATGAAGTGCAGAGCAGACAAAGCACGTTCTGGAAATGAAATTATGGTGCAGAGTGAGAAGAACGATTGTCTTGATTTTCATTGTGTGGCCATTGCTTAGATCTTGGGATCTTTACTTAGCTTTGAAGTTACAGCCTGGCGGAGGGGGATGAGGGCATGTTCACACCGAGAGCAGGACTATCATCTGAGCCGAGATTCCATGGAACTGGGCTGTCTGGGAGCAGAGGGGAAGGCCACAGCTGCCAGGATATTAGACAGGCCTATCCAGCCACAAGTTAGACACCAGCCCGGTCAACAACAGGAGTCGATTCTCCGGGGTAGGAAGTGTCCTCTGCTGCTGCTGCTTTTTCATTTTGAAAAGCTTTTAATAAAAGATTTATTTTATTATTACTATCTTACATATGTGTGCATGTATGTATGAATGTGTGTGTACCTGTGCTCAGAAGCATGTTGGATCTCTTGGAGCTGAACTTACAGACATTTATAAACTGCCTGATGTGGATGCTGGGACTCAACTCGGGTCCTCTGCAAGAACAAACACTGTATCTCTCCAGACCCTATTTTATCGTTTTTAATTATGTATGTGTCATAAGTGCTGGAATTAAAGGCATACACCACCACCATTCGGCACCAGTAGTATTTTCTATTGAGCCATCCTGGTAGTTATATAGGGGCTCCTTTTGCTGATGTACAAGAAAATGGGGAAAAAGTTTGGGGCTACTGATCCTGGGTAGGATAGTTACTAAAAAGCTCTCACTGTTTCAGCTTTCCTGTCTACATGGCAGTTTATGCTGACTGACATTTAGATAATGGGAAATTGCTGGCCTTTCTCTCTGCCTGGGGTGAGCCTTCAGGTTTGCTCGGTTGCTCCTGGATGCAATGATGGGATATTTCTGTCAGGAGCCAGTTCCTCTTTGGACTAGTGGTACCTGCTTCTATAAGACAAGAAGGGTGCTAAAATTCATGAGGAAAAGATAGAGTTTTCTTGGGTTAGAACCTTTGTGCAGCTATGGTCATGGACTGTATAAATGCCTATTTTCATAATGCACGCAGGGCATGGAGTCAATACAGACAGATAAGAGTAGGTCTACCAGCAGTACCTGCCAATCAGAAGACCCACTGAACACTTTGGGCTTTCTGCTCTGTGACCGCATAAGACTTTCCAATGGGATGTAGAAACCCTGTTCAGATTTCATGGAACTCTGATTTCTCTCCTGCTGGTTAGGTATGGAAGCACCATTCTGACAAGTTTCCTAATCCAAGGATCCAGTCCTTTGAGTGGCCAGAATGTCATGTCAGTATCAGAAGATGCCTCAGTCATGGAAGTTTTCAAGGGGGAGCTGCAGAGATGGCTCAGTGGTTAAGAGCATTGCTCTTGCAGAGGACCTGGATTTGGTTTCTAGCATCCACATGGTGACTCACAACCATCTCTAGCTCTAGTTACAGAGATCTGATGCTCTCTTCTGGCTTCTGAGGCCAGCAGGTACATGATGCACATACATTCATGCCAGAAAACAATCAAATACATAAATTAAAGTAAAATCTAAAAAAATTGTTTGTAAGTTTGTTTTGAGACAGAGTCTCAGTATATAGTTCTGAACTGTTCTGGAACTCACTCTGTAGAACAGGCTGCTGGCCCCAAACATAGAGAGATCTGCCTGTCTCTGCCTCTTGAATGCTGGGATTAAAGGTATGCACCACTAAGTCTAACACTAAAAAAATTTTTTTTAAAGAAAAATTTGCAAGACAACAGGAATATGAGCCTCATATAGAGCAGACATAGGGAGGATATGGATTGGCTGAGTCATTCCTGGAATATCGGCCTTCACCATCTGAGCCCCAGACTTGAGGGAGAGCATAGACACCACTACAGTCCATGAGTATCATGAGCTTGCATTCATACATTTGGACTAGAAAGCTGAGTCAAGAGTCACCACCAGTGGAGATGAGGGCACCCATTAGAGGATGGGGACAAGGGTAGAAGTGGCGACACTTGGTGAAAACATCAGTGTCTCTGGTGTCTAAGCATGGAGATGGGCACAGCTGAACTGCTACCATTGGGTTTTCTTCACCAGCTGATGGTGTGGACATGCATAGGCAAAGAGTAACTACATGGAGGTTTCTGTTATCTGAATGTGAACAGGGGAACTGTTGACAGTGGGGCAGTCTATAGAGGAAGAACTCAAAAGGCAAACGACAGAGGTGCATGCCTTTAATCCCAGCACTCAGGAGGCCAGACGGGTGGATTTCTGAGTTTGAGGCCAGCCTGATCTACAGATGCCAGCCAAGACTACACAGAGAAACCCTGTCTCAAAGCAAATTAAACCAAAAATGAAAGGCAAATGGCAGGATGTGCCCCTATGGCAGTTGAGGTAGGAGAAGGAGAGGAATCGTTGGGCAATCAGAGACCATGCGACGGGTGGGAGTGGCTTAATGGTTTCTGTAGTGTTGTGCAAAAGCAATGGACCAGTATGATTCTTACTAGATGATAGAATTTTTAAGTCTTGGTTGGGTTTGCTCAACAGGTTCTCTTGGACTACTGTTTTAGTGGTTTCTAAGTTTCCATGCTCCAGTCCCTGCTGTCTGGCTCATTGTTCCCACTTCCCTGGTGTGAAGGTTCGATCACAGCACCTTTCAGATTCAACAGACACCTCCCCTGCTTGGAACTTCATCATCCCCTTCCTGGGGGTGGGATCCACTGGGGCTCCATACCAAACCCCGGCTCTCTGTCTTCTTTTCAGTTCCTGTCTCCTGTCCTGAGATCTGCCCACATACTTACTTCAGTGTGGCACTTGCCCTGACTGCTCCACTGTCCTAGTTTCTGCCCCTTGACCCACTGTGGCTCAGTTCTGCAGGAAAGTATCTTACAGATGCTCTCTGTTTGACTGTCCTATGTCCTTCTAATTCCACTTCAGGACCCAGAGATCACGGGGGTCAGTCATCACTAGGTGACCAAGAGGATGACCTGGGCCCCTCCCGAGGTCCAAAGTGTATGTGCGAGTCCTGAGAGATGACCCTACCTAGCAGAGAGCAGATAACAGTTTCCTTGGCTGAGGCAGGGAACTGCTTCAGGAGTTGGTCTTTTTGTTGGTTCCTTTTGTCTGCCACCAGAAGGTTGGGCATCTTTGGGTCCTTTGTCTAGTTCACTCTCTGCCAATAGATCTCTGTGTGATCATTTAGGAGGCAAATAATCTATGTTTACTGTGCCACTCACATATTTACAATAAGCTTTCCTGGTTCCCTGGCTAATAATCATCGTGCTGTAACATACCAGATAAAGTTGAAACTCAAGAAGCCAGAACGAATCTTTAAGTTTCTGGTTTGAATGTGTGCTATGGCTTGGGTGCAGTTTTTCCTCCAGAGTTTATGTGCCGGAGGCTTGGCCCTCAGGGTGGCAGTATTGCAGCAGTGGAGCTTTTAAGAAGAGAGGCTCCTGGAAGGTAATTAGGTCATGGGGGCATTGCCCACTGAAGGAATTATTGCAGATCTTGTGAGATGGGATTAGTTTCCATGAGGATGGTTGCTGTAAACAAGCCTGACTTCTCTCCTGAATCCTTCTTCTCTATGTGACAGGTGCTCCCACCATGGTGATGTCACTTGCCAGGGGCCCTCATCAGAGAAAAGCAGATGCTGGCACCATGTTTTTGAACCTCCAGAACTATAAACTAAATAACTATCTTTTGAATGATAGTTTTATTTACCAGGTGTTTTGTTATAGCAATACAGACTACAATATACCAGCTCAGGGTTCCCTAACATTTTTCTGTGTGATAAAAGCCTATGGAATTGATTAAGTATCAACTAGACACGACGTGTAAGTAGTTCTCAGGCTTTGATGTATATAAGAATAGGAAGGGTGTGTTAAAATGTGTAGTCCTGACATTGGAAAGATAGCAGGTGATTCTCAGACATGGTTAGCCAAAGTCTCCATGGAGTGATGTGGATACATCTAAAATGTCCCGGACTTTAATCAGAGCTTCTGATGTCTCTGGGACCTATGGGCATGCATTTTCGTGTGAGAGCCCAAAAGGGTCAGGTTCTAAAATAGACACTGATGCTTTTCTGGAACAGGATCTACCAACTGATAACTTTCAAAACAGATCTTTCAACTTCACACTTCAATTTCTGGGGATTTTCCTTAAATTGCCCACAAGCATTTACCTCCAAAAGTGTTTACATATTTGTAACAGTGGAGCACCAGAGACAATAAAAATATCCATTTAAAAAAATGGCTAACTTAAAATATGCCCATGCAAAGGTAATAGTCATTTAAAAAAACACCAAAAAACCAAAACTAAGACAACAACCTGAAAAGGAATTTGTCTTCTATAGAATGGAAGAAGGAGTGTTGTAATAGAGTTGAAAGTCCAGCCAAGCATGGCCCAGCCGCAGATGGAGGATGCAGCCTGTCCCTGGGGAAATCTTCAGCCACTTCTTTCCCAAGGCACCTTGGCATGGTTGATGTCACAAACTTAAGTCATGAGAAAGGCCTTTTCACTGGCTACTTCCTTCCTCCTGTGATTCAGGATGATAGCCTGTGAGATCCTGGACCGAAGGGTGACCCCAATCACACCAGCAGACTGACTTGCCCTATTGCATGCAGTTTAGGAAGTACAACCCAAGATCAGTGCATCTGGGATGGTCAGTGTCATTTGTCAACTAGACAGGCTCTACAATTGCTTAGGACTTGGGCCTCCAGGCATACCTGTGAGAAATGATTATTTAAAAGTTAGCCTCTGAGAATATCTGTGATAGAATTTATCTTGATTAGGTTCACTCTTGGGGGAAGACCCATTTCAGTTGTGGGCAGGACCATTCCCTGAGTGAGGAACCTGTACTTCATGAACAGAGAAGGCTGGCTGAGTAGAAACGTTCATTATCACTCTATGCTTCCTGCTTGCAGATGTGCCGTGTCCAGCTGCCTCAAGCTCTTGCTGCCATGACTCTCCTACCACAATGGACTATCCCAGACTGTGAGGCAAAATAAATGCCTCCTTCTTACAGTGGCTTTTGTCAGGGCACTGTATCACAGCCACAGAAAAGTGACTAAGATTGCTTCCATGGAGTGGACATCAAGCCTCCTTGTTGAATGTGCTGGGACCCCCCAGTAGAGTTCCAGGAATTATCTCTCAGCACAGAGCTAACTCAATCAGTTCTCTCAAAGACTTTAGTGAAGCAGACAGCCTTCCAGGCCTCTGGCCCATAGTCAGACCTTATCAAGTGGCTTTGAAGTTGTCATACCACGTGCTTTGGGTTAGGCAGGTTGCTAAGGATCACAGACACAAGGCGATTCAGAGAGAACTTTTCTTTTTTTTTCAAAACAGCACTATTTCCTAGCAATCTCCAAAGACACCAACACTGGCCATGGGGTGGCAATTGTTGTCATAAGCAGGCTGACTTAGGTGTCACGTTCCTATGTTGCCCAAACCATTCTGCACATGGAGCCTTACTCACTCTAATGGTCTCAACGCTATAGTTTAAACAAAACAAAACACTACTTTGGAGGTAAGAAGGCGCCTAAAAGTTCTGGTAAAAACCAGACACTTCTTGAGTTAACAACAAAACCCCAAAGTCTTTCGTGTGGTGTTTTCCAAATTGGTTCTTGACGAGAACTAGGGGATTTCAGTGTGAGAAATGCAAAGCCCAATTACTATGAATTCTTAGCTTTCGTAAGTATGACGTGAGCTCATTGCAAAATTCTCTAAAAGGGCTAACAGGGCATTCATAACGCTGAACCAGGAAGAAGGGAGCTAGCACGTCTGTGCTTTGAGAACCATCAACGCCTCAGGTCAAATAACCAACTGGCCCAGATGGCACCCATGTGAGGCAGCATGTGTTCAACTTGTCAGTGTTCATCGTGGAAAAACAAGGTCAGGCAAACATCTTCAGGTGACCTAACTCTGCAAAGACCATGGTGTCCCCGATGTGAATTACACAACTCATGTATAATTAAAATGGAAAAATAATAAAATATAAGATTAAAGTGAAACAAACTTATGAAAGCCTTTTTTCCCCCTGTGAGAACTATTTTGATGTCATTTAAAAAATGTCAAATAATAAAATATAAATCGTGTGTTTGTATACAACTCTGCCTTGCTGGTGATGTCTCTGAGGTCACCTCACCTGCCATCCTAACAATGTCAAGGGGTCATGAGGCTCTGTGGCTTTCTTTCAGACACAACATATTTATAGTAGTGAAATTCTGGTTACTCAGTTTGGTGGTCACACACCTCTCCTTGTCATACAGTATAGCTAGAAATGTCAGAAATCAGTCCTATTCCAATTTCTTATGCTATATGTATTGAGGGGATCATATCAGATGGTAGCTAAAATGAACAAAACATGATTAATATTATGGTTTGAATCAGAAATGTTCCCTCATGGGCTCGCAGTTTGTGCACATGGACATTAGCTGTTGCTATGGCTGGGGGTGGGGGTGGGGGTGGGGGGGGTTTCTGGAAGCTTTAGCAGGTAGAGCCTGGCTGGGAAAAGCGAGGGCATGTTCTCACAACTATGTTGTACCCTGTCCCTTCATAGATCGCTTTCTGCTTCCCATCTACAGTGTGAATCTCCTCTACCACATATTGCTGCCGCCACAATGTGCTGCTCGGGAGCACAAACCCGAAACAACCATGGAGTGAATCCTCTGGAACTGGGAGCACAAACAACGGTGTCCTCCTCCAGTCACCTTTGCAGGCAATTTGTCACAGTTTGAGAACATAACTACCACAGCCCATCACCGAAGTGAGTGGACCATGAGACAGCTCGCTCTTCCTGGCGGTGGCCTTTGGCTCTGCGTTTCCTGAACACCTCTGCCAGTTAAGCTGGAACTTCTGACACCTTGTGCTTACTCCCAGCTTACTCCTTCAGGTGTCCACGTCCAGTGGGCAGCGCCTTCCCACACTCAGTATGTTTCACTCTTAACTCTCTCATCATCCCAGCCTGCTCGGCGGACACTCTTAGTCCTCAACAACCCCAGAGAGTGGGCTTTCAGAGGTGGAAGTATTTTTTGAATCAACTTGTTATTTATTCGGCTCACTCCTGATGTGATGGAATTAACAGCAATCCAAGAGGTGGTCAAACTGGCCAGTAACTGATCTTTCCACACAATGGACAATGCTCACTTTTCAGGGTGGGGATGTGGGAATATCAAGTCCAGTGGAAACATTTAATCTGCTTAGACAGATATTAACCATGAAACTAGAGAACTATGTACCATGCAACCTGGGCAGGACTTTACTGGAGCCCTTTCCTGACATTTACCAGTAAGAATTCTAGAAAGACCAACATTGGCTAAAAACTACATAAATCGTAGAGTGAGACAAGGCTCTCCAAATAGGGCTCATACCTGTGCCCCTCATTGTTTCAGTAAATGAGACTTTTTCTGAAAAGAAGCTAGAATTACACATCAGGTATAATTTTTTTTCTGAGACAGAGTTTCTCTGTGTAGCCATGGCTGTCCTGGAACTCACTCTGTAGACCAGGCTGGCCTTGAAGTCACAGAGATCCTCCTGCCCCTGCCTCCCGTGTGCTGGGATTAAAGGTGTGTGCTACCACCACCTGGCGGGTATAATTTTTTTATATTTTGTGGGGTTGGCATTAATGTAACTTCCCAAGTCTTTTATAGTCTATATTAAAATAATTTTTGAATAATTTTATTTGAAGGTCTCTTCTTAGAGGACCCTGCTCACTAGTTAAGCATCACAGGGCCTGGTATAGGTGGGGAAGAATAGTGTTCCAAAGTCCCCAGGACCAGGCAGAACCATGAGCTCAGGTCTTTAGGATGTTCCTATGGAGCACTGCAGCTCATAGTTGTGAGAGCAGAATCCTATTGGAAAATCCCAGCAAGTTTGCTTGACTCAAGAACAGGAAAGGAACAAAGCCAGAAAAGACCTAGAACAAGAGATTAAAGGGAGAAAAAATGAGGAGATGCCCTTGCTGTTTCACTGGCCACTGGCAACAGGGATGTGTTTACCTCAAATCATAGGATTAGAATGGACAGAGGAATCTTGGGAAATTTCTCTCACTATTCTTTGCCTTCATGCTCAGATAAAACCTAAGGGCATCCAATTGAGACTTCTACATATTTCCTAATTTTTGCTGTTGTTTTGCTATGCAGTTCCAGTTGGCCTGGAACTCATGAGCAACCCTCTTGCCTCTGTCTCCTACCTGGGCTTACAGATGTGCACCCCATATGCTTGGCATTCTCATATGCTTTTCTAAGATTTGTTTTTATTTTATGTGTCTACATTTACTACTTATTTGCCTGTAAGTATGTTTGTGCACCTCCTAGTGCCCAAGAAAGCCAGAAGAAGGCATTGGATTCTCTGGAACTGGATAATTCCAGATAGTTATAATCCCCTGTATGTGCTGGGAACTGATCCTCTTCAAGGGCAACAATTGAGCTATCTTTCCAGCTCATTGTCTAATCCATGCCCCCCGCCGCCCCACACTGTTCTACTCTACAGCTTTATATTTGAGCATTTCCAAGTTTTTACATTCAATGCCAAAGAGAATTACCTTTTTCCAGAAAGGTAATTACACATCAGGTATCATTTTTTTTTTCTGAGACAGAGTTTCTCTGTGTAGCCATGGCTGTCCTGGAACTCACTATTTCCAGAAAGACACTTCCAATTGTCTCTGGGAAGTGGCTGCTCTGTGGTTAGCTATGGCCATGTGCCTGGGTTTTAGCTAGTGGAATGTAAAGAAAACCCCTTCAGCCCATAAGAACCTCCCATGTACACTCTTCAGATTCTTTGCTTTTTCTACTGCAGGGCAAAGATTCGCCCTGGTGACTTGCAACCACCTGCTGCAAATGGCAGTCTCTTTCAAACTTTGAATTTTTTTTTTGTTTTTGTTAGTGTTTGTTGGGCATCAAACCAAGGGACTTGGGCACTTTGGGCAAGGAGTCTCCCACTGAACTATACCCCTAGTCTTGAATCTGAATGACTACATGAAAGAGAGTTAACCCCAATTAACCTGCTCTGTCACATGATCAAGAAGTAAACTCTATTGTGTTTGAGGCGATCTATATTTAGAGTCTATGATAACAATTAGCCTATCTTGACACCTATCCCCTTTGACACAGTTGTTGTCATTGTGTACAGCAGAAGCATCTGTGCCCTGTGCCCTTTTCTTTATTATCCCCCAAACCAAAAGAAGTACAATTAGAGACTTCAAAGTAGGGACTCATCAGGGACAAATGACGCTCACCAAAGTATTTGTCCCAGCACTCAGATCTTTCTGCCAGAGGAACAACAGGCTGGCCTAGCCTTACTTCAAGACAGCCTAATCTGTAAAATTATATTTAAAAAGTAAGACACAAGACCTACAAAACATATATTAAAGTGTGATAGTTAATCTCAAAGGAATTTGTGCTTCTCGATAAATGATCAACTTCTGCACTGCCTTAAAGTAAGGATCGCTGGACGTTGGTGGCACACGCCTTTAATCCCAGCACTCAGGAGGCAGAGGCAGGCAGATCTCTGTAAGTTCGAGGCCAGGCTGCTCTCCAGAGCCAGTGCCAGGATAGGCTCCAAAGCTACACAGAGGAAACCCTGTCTCGAAAAACAAAAAACAACAACAAAAAAAGTAAGGGTCATTTTCTAAAATACACACAACCACATTAGTGTATGAAGAACAGCCTTAACGTGCTGAGGAAAATGCACAGAAAAGAGATGCTCACTCAGGAGGTGACTGGAGAAGCCAGAAGAACCGAGATATGGCTCTATGCTTGCCTGCTCTGTGGTTCTCATACACATGCAAAATGTTTTTCACAGAAACTGAAATTTCTTGAGTAGAAACTTCCAGAAGTCATAAATGACAGGTTATGCAAAGACCTAGGAGTTTTCAGATGAAATTAAAACAGATGAACTATGTTTCGCCTCTGCTTAACATGCCAGTGGCAATGTAAGTAGAAATGAAAAACTGTAAACAGGACAGCAAAGAGATAACGAAGGTGCTTCAGCCAGAGGAGGGAACATGCTCTCAAGGCAGGCTGGCTGTAGACCCTTTCTTACCAGGATTGCCATTAATTCCCCACCTTTTACCCCCTCCCGGGTCAAATGTGAAAATACTGTTTGATTGACAGTATATGTTTGCCTAGAATGGGGCTTATTTTAGGTCTTATCGCCCCATAGAAGATCCAGGAAGCAAACTGTCCAGAACCCCAAACAAATACTTTGGCCTCCTTGAAACAGCTCAGTTGGGCCAAGAAAACAAGAAGCCTGAATCCAGTAGGTCGTTCTCCCCAGGGTTTCGGCCTGAGTAGCTTTTGTTTATACGTTATTGCTTGGCCCCATGGGGAAGAGAGAGCAGGGCCTTCTGGGGCTGTATTTAGAGGGTGTCTTAAAGGCCCCACTACCCCCTCTGGGCCAGGGCCTGCCAGGCTTGGCTCTCAGGAGCAAGATGGCGCCCACAGTGTTGGGCCTTGACTGAGGGACTGAGGGACTGAGGGGCTGAGGGGCTGAGGGGCTGAGGGGCTGAGGGGCCTTCACTTACTCGGAGGTGCTGGCTCCTCTGAAGCCCACACGCTGCCAACTCCCCGGGCTCAGGAGTCACCACTGCGTTCTTCCTCTGGATTCCTCAACTCCTGGTTGAGATCTGCGCCACATAATTTTCTCATGGTGTCACTCATTCTGAGTGCTTACATTTGGAAAGTTGATTCACAAGTAAAGCCTTCCTTAAGGCTTAAAAAAGGAGAAGAAAGAAGAAAAATTAAGGTTGATCGTGGGGAAATGGAGTGAGCACAGCAGTGTCCTCTCCCGTTTTGATATTTGCTGCAGCTATGAGAACCACTCCCTGGTCAGGTTCCTGGCTGCAAACCGAGGCCAGTGGCAGGGCGTGGGTGACGTCAGGGCCAGGCCTGAGTCATAGCCAGCGGCCCGGCTGCCCTGCCACTCGGAAAGGGACAAAAGGAACCTTTGATGTCCAGAGGCCCTCCTCTCTCGCAGGCTGGCTGCACTGAACAGCAGGCCAGAACATTCCAGCTGTCTCCCCACCCCTCCCGCCCTCCCTCCTTCCGGAACAGTCCTAGACAGATTCAACAAGGCCTCCCTGAAGGACATCGCCCTCCTGTGCAGCCAAGGCATGGTCACCCTCTGGAACCAAGAAGCAAGGAAAACAGGCCCCCACCCCCACCCTCTCACTTCCCCTCTGTCACATGCCTGCATCTGTGTGCTGCCCACCTTAGCACAGAGTTCTAATGGTACTTAAAGATGAGGAAAGATGGGCTCACTGTCACCGTCCCTGGGGACAGCCTCCAGTGTTCAGAGTGTGTTTGCTTCTGCGCGAGCCGCTGTGGAGGCAGGCCTCAATTCTCCTCTCTGTTCCTCCTGCGTCTAAGTGGCTTTCCTCTGGGAATAGCCATATCCCAGAACCTGGCACGAAGCTCACTAAGTACACCATGGATGGATGGATGGATGGATGGATGGATGGATGGATGGATGGATGGATGGATGGTGATGAATGTTTATTTACATCTCTGTTAAGTATTTTATGGCAGTTATTTCACTTATTATTGTGATGAAGCTGTGGAGAAGGAAACTGACAGCTGAGGAAATGAGTTCTCAGAGAAATTAAGACACTTCTTTGAAGTCTCACAGCTCATCAGTGGCAGAGCTTGAGCTGTCGTCAGACCTCAAATTCTCTATTAGCTTCCATGTTGAGAGGCTGGGGTGAGTGAAGGAACACTGACTGATGTACTTTCCAGGAGAGGAAAGACAAGAATAAAGATGGGTCTTGAAACCCAACCCTACAAGAACATGGCAGAACAATCAGGTACGTTCTATCTAGGTGAGGTAGGCCTCCTGTCCTCTTGATGAGCCAATGCCACAAGCTGAGGTGTCTGTGACAAGCTACCAGTCTGTCCTGAGAAGCTGGAGCCAGAAAACAGAGGCAGGGAAGTCTGCTGGCCGAAGTTCTGGTGTGTGGTGGTAGAGCCCAGTGGGCAGAGCCCTGGACTCCATGAGCAGAGGTGAGAGGACCAGTGACATCAAAGGGATGAGTCTGGGTGGAAAGCTAAGGGGAAAAGGACTCAATAGTGCTCTGGAGGCCTGGGGGGCCTGGAGGAGGAGTTGAAACCATGTTTTCAGAGGATGAGAGGGGGACTATGCCTAACAATTGTAGCCCCTTTCTTCTTTTATCTCTACCCCACCACAGCCCCAGCTGTGCTCTGCTGGGGTGGTGGGAAGAAAGTCTGCTCAGGAGTTGGGACGCTATCAGATGAACTCCTTGGCACCTCCTCCACGGTGGCTTGTGATTCTGTCTTGTACTTTTCCATGACTCTCAAATGCCTCATTTCAAGAGGAAGATGAAGCCAGGAATTTCCAGCCTCTCATGAAAGGGACTGGGGACTTTGGTCTCCTCCCCCGACCCCAGGTGGGTCGAGGAGACCTCTCTCCATGGCTTACAGTCTATCTCTGATGGCCAGGGACAGTATGCGGTTCCCCTTTCCTGAGAGCTCTGCCAGATGACCCTCAGGAATCACACTTGTCGGCAGAGTTTGGATCTCTAGGCAGGTGGAATTAGCAGAGAACTTCTGAGGAGAAGCACGTGTGGTTGTCTTCAAAGGGGCAGCGATAACAGGCCAGTCCTGGCAGTGTCCACCAGTGCCTGGACTTGGCCTGAGAGGAGCTTTCTGAGTTCCAGGCTTTTATGGTAGAAGGTTTATTTACCCATTTCTGCACTGTCTACATAAATGCTAGATGTTCCCCTGCTGGGTTTCCCCTGGGGCTTGGTGGTCTAGCCTACATCACAGACACCAGCCTTTATTTCTTTAATAAGACTAGAGATTCATTATTTCCCTCTGTACCTAGTAGCAATGCAAACAGAAAAGGGAAAGAAAGTAATAAGCAGGAATGATCTGTAAACTTAAGTGAGTGGCAGATCCTTGTCTTTCAGGCACTATGGTTGATTGATAGGGGAGATGAGGGGATAAAGTCAGGGAATTGGGAAGACATTGCACTTAAAGAGAAGTGGCCCCAGGAGCTCTTCTTGCCTGTACCTCATCTCAGAAACCTTCTTGGCCACAATAACATAACTGTATTCTACTAATTTTCTGGTAAACCTTTAGGGGCTCAAGGAATTACTCAGACCTCTCTATACTTGCTGCCTCCAATCTTTCTCACTTCTTTTAGTCTTTTTAAAAATACAGTTAAGATATAATTTGCATAGCAGAAAGTTCACCCACGTAAAGTGTGCAATTTGAAGGATTTTAGTATATTTGCAGGTATTTACATATATTTAGTATGTTTACATAGTCAGTCTACTTTTATAATATTTTTGTTAGATAGCCCCTGCAAAGAAACATTGCACATTTTAGCCATAGGGAACCATCAATATACCTTCCAGATCTAAGGCTTTCCCTTCTCTGGACATTTCATGCAAATGGAATGATGCAATACATGGCATGTGGTGATTGGCTTCTTTCACTTAGCATAATGCCTTCAAGGTGTATCCATGTTGTAGAATATTTCCTTGCCTGTTCCTTTTAATTTGGATAATATCCTACTGCATGGATATGACATTTTGTTTATTATCTTTGAACCAGTTGATGAAAGTTTGAATTGTTCCACTTGTTTGTTTTGTTTTTGTGTACAATATGGAAGATTGAACCTAGAGTCTTACACAAGCCAGGCAAGTATTCTATCTCTGAGCTATATCCCCAGAATTCCAGGATAAATAAAGAAATAATTGAAATTGCAAAAAAAAAAAAAATCCTTTCTTCTATTTCAAGCTGACCTTGAGTTCACCTTGTGTTCCAGGCAGACTTTGAGAGCCCTCCTACAGCAGCCTCCTGAGTAGCTGAGATTACAGGTCTGTATCACAGGTACAGCACAACATTAAAAAAAAAAGATTTATTTTATGTATATGAGTGCTCTCTTTGCATGTAGGCCTACACATCAGAAGAGGGCATTGATTGGATCCTGCTATAGATGGTTGTGAGCCATCATGTGGTTGCAAGGAATTGAACTCAGGACCTCTGAAGAGTAAGCATCTGGTGCTCTTAACCGCTGAGCCATCTCTCCAGCCTTGTACATCTCACTTTTAAACTATTATGAGCAATATGGACACTGGTGTACAATGTTGTTGTTGTTGGTATTGTGTGTGTATGTACGCATGGTTAAGTTTTTGTTTCTCTTGGGCCAACACCAAGGAGTATGATTGCTGAGCTGTGTCAGTTACTTTATATCCATGTGTGTTGCGGTGGGGGTGTGGGTTCATGTGGCCCATGGCCTCCAAAGAGAAAATGTCAAATGCAAATACCCGATTAGGGACATCACAGTTTGCCAGATTGTTCCCAAACAAGCTTTGCATGTGCTTTGTAGCCTTGGGGAACTCTCAGACAAGATTCACATAGAGGGCAACAGGAGAAACAAAGGGAAACCAAGAAACAAAAAGATGCATTAGGGTTAGGTGCCCAGCTTAGCCCATTGGGAATACTTCCACAACTGTGACTCACAGTTTCAAAGGGTTTGGCCCATGGTTTCTTGGCCCCATGTACTTGGGTAGTAACATGAGGGTGCTGGGAACATGTAGCAGGCAAAAAGCAGAGAGAAGGGAGACAGAGAAGGGGAGGTGGCTCAGTTGGTCAAGTGTTTGCCATGTACAAGTGAACCAGAGTTTGGATTCCTAAAACCAATGTTAAAACAAAATAAAACAAACAAACAAACAAACAAAAAACAGGCAAGCGTGGTAGCCACCTATAATCCCAGTGCCTGGAAGCAGAGACAGGGGAATCTCTGCCTCGAGTGGCTGTCCAGACTAGTTGGAACTTGTGAGCTGTTCAGTGAATCAATGGATGAAGTGGAAAGTGGTTGAGGAAGACAATATCAACTTCAAGCTTTGGTGTGTCCATGGGCATGTATGTGCACATGCGCCCCTACATGTGTCCACACACAATAACACATACCATGTAGATACACACATGCAAAACGAAATATATATATATATATATATACATATATATAACATAGTACATATTATATACTATTATATCATATATTATACATATAATAAGTAAAGATTTTTAAAAGAATGGGAACAAGAGAAGTCCAACTACAAGCTATCCATTTGGCTCACCCTCATTGATCTTCCTTCTCCAGCAGAGACCTACCTCCTAAGGTTCCTAGGACCTCCCAAAATAGTGCCACCCACTAGGGACCTAAGGCTTTAACATATGAGCCTGTGGGGACATTTCATTTTCAAGCTATGACACGGGAGTTGTGGAAACTCTTATGATTAACATTTCTGAGGAACTGTTGAACTGTTTTTGCATAATGCCACCTCATTTTGCACTCCCGCCAGTCATGTGTGACCTTTCTGATTTCCCCATATCCACATCACCAGCCTCATTGTCTCTTTTTGATTCTAGCCATCCTAGAAGGTGAGCTATGGTGTCCCACGGTGGCTTTGAGTTGCATTTACCTAAGGACTAACGATGCAGAGTATCTTTTCATGAGCTTGTTGGCCATTTGTATATCATCTCTAGAGAATTGTCTGCTCAAATCCTTCATCCATCCCTAAATTGTCTTTCGTGTTCTTTGAATTGTAGAGGCTCTTTATGTTTTAAGTTTATTCTGGATATAAATCCTTCATATTTCATATTATCTCCCTGTCTGTGAGGTTTTTTTCACGTGGTTTAAAAGTATATATTATTATTTTTTACTCATGTGTGTGTGTTTGTGTGAATAAATATCATGTGTATACAGATGCCTCAGAGGCCAAAAGAGGGCGTTAGGGCTGAAATTACAGATGGTTGTGAGCCACTTGACATGGGTAAAGGGATTAAACTCTGGTCCTCCAAAAGAGCAGCAAGTACTTTTCACGCCTGAGCCATCTTTCCAGCCCCTCATGTGCTTTCTTTATTTTACTTTATTTTATTTTATTTTATGGTTTTTCAAGACAGGTTTTCTCTGTGTAGCTTTGGAGCCTATCCTGGCACTCGCTCTGGAGAGCAGGCTGGCCTCGAACTCACAGCGATCCGCCTACCTCTGCCTCCCGAGTGCTGGGATTAAAGGCGTGCGCCACCAACGCCCGGCTATTTTATTTTTTTTAAACATTTTTGTTTTTATTATGTATGTGTGTGTGTGTGGATCTGTGGAAGCATATGTGCACATCTGTGTGCATGTGCCCACAGAGGCCAGAAGAAGGCAGAGAATCCCCTGGAGTTGGAGTTACAGGCTGTTATCAATTGCCCAATATGGGTGCTGGCACTGACTACCAGCTAGGCCTCCCCAAGAACGGAACAGTTCGGCACTGATGAAACATCACTTCAGCCCTATGTTTCTTCACATTCTTGATGTTACCCGAAGCATAAGAGCTTTACGTTTGAAGAAGTGCAAATTCTTGTTCTCTTTTATCACTGGTGCTTTTCACATCAGAGTTGGGAAACCTTTGTCTGACCCAAGGTCATGACGGTGCCACTTGAGTTTCCTGTAACAGTCTTACTGGGTCAGTTCTTGTGCTTAGCTCTGCAAATGGGTTTAGATGGCGTGAGGTAGAAATCCAAGTTCAGTGTTTTCATGTGGATGTCCTGTTGCCCCAGTATTGATTATTGAAAAGACTGTTCTCACAATGATAACGCACCTCTAAAACTGGCCTAAAATAGGCTTTATTTGAAAGACGATCTATTCTCTCGCCTGTAGAATTGTCTTTACTCCTTTGTAAGAAATTGACAGGTAGCAATACTAGTAATTTTCTTTCTGGCCTCTTAATTTTTATTCCATCTACCTAGGTGTCTTTATGCTGGCACCACACTATCCTGCTTGTGGTAGATGCTTAAGTTTCAAAATTTGAATGAATATTTCTGTCCAGCAGCTTTGTTCTTTTTCCAATATCATTTTGGTTATTCTGGGTCCTTTGCATTTTATACTATTACTCCCTCCCCTTCCTTTTCTCTTCTCCTCCCCCTTCCTTCCCTTCTCCTTTTCTTTTGTTCTTTCCATTTTCCCTTTTCTATCAGTCTTTGCTAAGAACAGTAGAGTGTTGCCTGAAGTGCCTCACATGGCTGTGTCTGGAGTCTTGGAAGCTTACCTTCCTGTGACCTACACATGGACCTTGAGGGCTTGTTTGGAGGCTCTTACTAGGGAGTATGGCTACTTGTATACCCTTGACCAAAGAATGGTCTCTATCAGGGAGGGTTGTTCTCTTCAACCAACAGGAAACTTCTCGAGGGACACACACATAGGATGTTGGGTATGGCGGGTGGTGCACCTACATAGTCAGTCAAATTGTGGATTCAACTGTGACAATCAGTGTGCTAACAGGCATCACAGCCACATCACACTCACATCCCCAAATCGGACATTAATTTTTAATCTACACCTGCATTTATCGCGTGGCATCTTAGACCTTACATGTTGTGCAGAGCGCCGTGGTGCTCCTTGGTAGTCTTCTCTGGTCCCCAGAGCTCCAGCTGTGTTTTTTCCAAGCTTCTTCTGAAGCGCCCCATTCCAGTCCAGTCCTAGCCAGTGTTTCTCTGGTTCTGCTCCTGTCCAGTTCCTTTGCTCACGGGGCAGGAGAAGCTAGAGTGGAAAAGCCAGACCTCTTTATCAGGCAGCAAGAAGAAAATCAAATGCCCTCCAACGTAGTTCATGACAACCAGCATGTAAGTGCTTAGTGCAACGTCTGACATGCTATACAACAAGCACCAATAAGTGGTGGACTTTGATTTCTGTATTTGGATTTCTATAGTATATTGTGCCCGTCCTTCCTGTTAATGCTGTGGGGTTTGGATGCAGTCTAGGAGCTACTGCCCACAGGCTCCCCTTATATTTGGGGGTTTCAAATGTGGAATTGTCCTTGAATCGTGCCCCCTCCAAAATCAGCCCCTGAGAAACTGAAACAAGTTAATCTCTGGGACTCCCTGAGTAACTTGTGGGACCATGTCTCCTGCCTGCTCCCTGATCAGTGTGATGACTTCATGCTCCTTCCTGTCTTCCACAGACTTGACACCCTGGGCCTTACAACATGCTAGACAAAGGCTTATTCTTTAGTCGCATCCCTAGCCCTTAGCTTTTAAAATTTGAATCTCCCTATGAATCCCAGGCTAGCCTCATGTCCCCTTCCTCTACCCACTGGAGCTGCTATTAGAGGAATGTGTCACCGTTCCTGACAGTGCCAGGCTTTTAATGCTGCAGGGCAGCAGCCATTATTTAGTGGGTCAACATTGGTCTTTGGTGATGGTGTAAAAGAAAGGAGGACAGAAATGTTAACATCTATCAGCAGCAGAACAATTGTTTCTGCTTTACGGTATACTAGGGGCTGGGTCTGTCTCTGGAGAACGGGTTTCCTACTATGATAATTCAGGGTTTAAAAGTGATTAAGAGATGGAGGTGTTGGAATAGATCCTTTTCTTCTATTAGCCCTGTAAGTAACTCATACAAGTGAGCTTGGAGGACACCTGCTGCTCCCATCATGAACATCAGGGATGGAGTCACCAAGAGTGAAGGACCAGGAGACGCTACCCTCCTCCCAGGGCATCTCTCAGCCAGTTCCTCATTGCCACAGTGTGTACACAGCTTTATACTGAACTCTATCTTCTGAGACTCTAACACACCCTGTCTCACTTTACTCTCTCAGCTACCCCAAGAAGCAGATGACTCAGATTCAAATTCCTATTTGACCACACAGGCGACCTTTGACAAGTTACTGAATGTATTAGACTCCGTGTCCCCCGGCTCTGTTACACGTAAAACCAGAGAGGCTGAGGATCTCACACAGCCTGGAATTGTTAGAATCAAGAAGAGAACTAGAGTCTTTCCTCCCAGCCTAGATGTTCCACCGGCTCCCCTCCCGAAAATTCTTCTCTTTTTAGAAGGGTGATTCATCTGGCTGCCTTAGGAAGAATGTTTTAAAAAGCCAATACCATTTTGTTCTCCCCACCATGTC